TACTATCTGTTTAAATTAGTGATGAGCTGTTAACTCGGAAGATGCGTAGGTTATAATGAGATGAATCGTGTGGGAAACGATATGCTAGGTGTGATTAGAGAGAGTGATGAGAGAAATATTTGTTCTTTTTTGTTGGTCTTGAAGAAATATCGGGCAGTCGATTTGTTAATTTTTTCCCCCTTGCTTGCATAAATATCCTTAATCCCGGCTTTTAGGCTGCGGTTAATATCATCATTGTTCATCATTGTTCTTCATTTCATAGTTCAAGGATACATTACTTTTGTTCAGTCACAGGCCCGTGCAGTAAAATTCTTTTCTAATTTTCGTTTTTTTTGTTCCTTTCTGATTAGGGGTAACTTGAAGCTCAAAGGTTTTAACTGGATCAACAAAGGAACACATCTTTTGTCGAGACATGTTATTACACAATGAGGTATCTAATAAGCAGATGGGTCTAAGTTTACTGATGTTACTGCTTTCACTTCGTATTTAGTAACTTGGTGACAATTTTTGATCGAATTGCGGGAAATGCCACTTTTGTTATTCTTAAAAAATATGAAAAAAGTATTTTTAGTTGAGTGTTGCTCCAGGTGACTTTTCTTTTTATTAATTATCAAATGATCATCTTTTGGTTGGGTTATGATTGTCATTTAAATGATGGAGTTGCTCGGCAAAAATGCACGATATATATATGTATTCAAGAAAGAAAGATGCATTTATATATAGAAAAAAAAAGAAGAAGATAATTTCAAGATGAATTTGTGTCGAACAAATACAAGGAAGAGGCACATCATTACATGATAAATCTTTGGTTCTATTTTAGTTTCTATTATCTAACTTCAAAGGTCAAGACTAATTCAATTAGTCTCCAACTAATGCTTTATTTAGAGTATTAGTTATTACACAGCACTCAAACAACTGTCAAAATTTCCTAATCTAGAGGAGAAAAAAAGAACAACAAAAACAAAAGCCAAAAAGCAATGATCATGAAACCCATGCACAAAAAACAAAAAAGTCTGGATCTTTATCAACTCCCACAATCCCTGCATGCACATAGAACCTTATTCTCTAACAAAAAAAAAAGCCTTTGGTTCCTACAAATCCTTTAATTTCTTCTTTTCCAAAAAATAAATCAAAACCAATAAAAAGACTTAAGAGTATATCCAAAGATTGAGGAGTTCACAGAGAATGACAAGGGAGGAGGAGCATTGGACAACAATGCCCTTCCTTTCTCATCCCTATTCTCCAGCTCAAAACACATTATCTCCATGGAAGTCGAAAAATCGAGCTCTTCGGATGATCAAACCACCATTTTGCACGAGGCCCCGTCCGCCTTTCTGGCAGGCGGTGAAAACGGGGATTACCCGCCTTTGAAGACTTTTCACGATGCAAAGACTTTGTTCTGCATAGAGTCTGCCAAGCTGTGGGCCATAGCTACCCCGATCGCCTTCAACATTTTGTGTAATTATGGGATTAATTCGTTCACGAGCATATTTGTGGGGCATATTGGGGATGTGGAGCTCTCGGCTGTGGCCATATCTTTGTCGGTCATCGCGAATTTGTCGTTCGGATTCTTGGTTAGTTTTGCTCTTCTTTCCTTTCGTGTTTTTTCGTCCATGGAGAATGGAATATCGGTTGATTAAGGAAACTGCTTACAAACCAGTTTGCTCTTTCATTTTTTTTTCTTTTTTCTTTTAAATAATAAAAAGATAAAAACTTTAAGATGCTTGTGTTATGTCACAAACAGTTAGTTTCTTGTTGGACCCTTTTCTTGATTGTTCATGGGTTCTTTGCAAATTGAAAGATAACTGGGTGTTTTTCAGTGATTAGACTAAATTCCAGGGTAGCTTTTGTTATCATTCCTTTGATTAATGCTGTATTATTTTGTTCATTCTCCTTTGATGATTTGTGTTTTGGGGAGGGCACTGATGAAAAGCTTGAAAATTTGAGTATACGGCTTGGAATTAATTTATCAAAAAAGTGATCAAGTTGTTAAACGCAAAACTCGAAAGAGAATGTTAGCTGGAATTAACCCCCCAATCCCCAAAAAAGTGTCGGAGTTTGGCCGTTACTCATTTCCAGTGTTTTCAATTATCAACTCTCCCTTTTGCTCTTGTTTAGATTTAGATTTCAGATATTCCTCATGCTCCACTTTTAACCCCTCACACACACACANAGATAAAAATGCTCGGCATCTACTTACAGCGCTCGTGGATCATTCTAACAGCCGCATGCTCATGCATGGTCCCACTTTACGTCTACTCTCGGCCCGTACTCAAGCTTTTGGGCCAGAGGCCCGATATAGCTGACATGGCTGGAAATTTCTCTCTCTACATAATCCCACAAATGTTCTCCTTAGCCATCAACTTCCCGACCCAAAAATTCCTACAGGCACAGAGCAAAGTCTCGATCCTTGCTTGGGTGGGCTTCGTGGCTCTTGTCGTGCACATATTCATACTCTTTTTGTTCGTTAAGGTTTTCAAGTGGGGCCTACTTGGGGCTGCCGTGGCTTACGACGTGTCGGCTTGGGGGATTGCTTTGGCCCAAGTGGTTTATATTGTTGGGTGGTGTGGGGACACCTGGCACGGGCTGACGTGGCTCGCGTTTAGGGAGATTTGGGCTTTTTTAAGGTTGTCTGTGGCGTCGGCGGTTATGCTGTGCCTCGAGATTTGGTACTTTATGAGTATTATCGTGCTGACGGGGCATCTCGAGGATCCTGTCTTGTCGGTTGGGTCGCTCTCAATATGGTGAGTATTTTTTACGGACGTAAAATTCGAAGAAAAAAAAAAAGTGGGGGGAAAAAGGTGATTCTTGGCTTATGGAGATGGAACTATTGATATATGCATGTGTTGTGGGTTTGTGCTGGGAAAAAAAATGATTTTTAAATTTTTGCTCACAAGTGAAGTACTTGTTCAATGTATACTCTCTTTTAGCTTTTATCTTCAAACTGTACTAGCTTTTGTTCTTCAACTATATTTGGCTTGTAATATGATAAGTCAAATCTCAATCTCTTTCTCTTTCTCTTAAATGAGAAATTTCTGTAAATACTATTTAGAATGACTCAACTACTATATATGTGTTAAAATTTCTTAAAAGACTAATTTCTGTCTTAAAAAGGAAAAAAAAAATGTGTTACTTGGCTTCTGGAGATGGAATTATTAAAATATGCATGTGTTTTGAGTTTGTTTGCAGGCTGTATTAAGTGATTGTGCTGGAAAAAAAAAATGATTTTTTATTTTTTGCACACAACTAAAGTACTTGTTCAAAGTATACTCTCTTTTAGTTTTTATCTTCAAAAACTGTAAAAACTTCTGTTTCTTCTGACTATATTTGGCTTGAAAATAGTTTCAAAAATTAAATGAAAAGTTTCTGTAAATACTATTTAGAAATACTCAACTACTATATATGTCTTAAAATTTCTTAGAAGACTAATTTTTTCATAATTTATATTTCTGCTTTTTAATCACTTTTTTTTTTTCAGCATGAACTTGAATGGATGGGAAGGAATGCTATTCATTGGAGTCAATGCAGCAATAAGGTAAAANTTATATTCTAGTGTTCGTGTGTCGAACGAGCTCGGGTCGAGACACCCAAGGGCTGCAAAGTACTCGGTTTTTGTGACCGTGGCCGAGTCACTCCTCATAGGTCTTTTGAGCATGGTGATTATAATAGCTTCAAAGGACCATTTTGCAATACTCTTCACAAACAGTGAGAAAATGCAAAAAGCTGTTTCTAAATTGGCCTATCTTCTTGCTATCACAATGGTGCTCAACAGCATTCAGCCAGTTATATCAGGTTTTTACCAATGGAGTTTAATAAGAAAAAAAGAAGAAGAAGATACTGATAAATGAATCTTATTTATTTACTTACTCATTAGTTATCTTGGCATTGATTGTTGAAATGTTAAATGAAATTTGTTGTTAAAATTTGCAGGTGTTGCAGTTGGAGGAGGATGGCAAGGGCTAGTGGCTTTTATTAATCTGACTTGCTATTACATAATTGGTCTTCCTATTGGGTTTCTTCTTGGTTACAAAGCAAAACTAGGTGTACAGGTACTATTTGTTTTGAATTCTTGCTTAGTAAATGATTGAAAAGAGACATAAAAAGGGAAAATAGAAGTTATACAATAGTTGTTTTGCCACAAGTTATTGTGTATTTGTGTGAGACAGTTTTAGCTTCAGCGGGTAAACCCGTCATATTTTTTGCATACTTATCGTCTGAGATTTTGAGTGACATTTTGAGACTTTTTTGAGATTTGAGACTTTTGATATTTTCAGATTTAAGAAGAATCCTCTGAAAATTTTAAAAGTCTGGAGGTAAGATTTGACGTGAGATTTGGTATATGGCTTTTTCTTTTGAAATCCCAGCAAAATCTTAAAAAGTCTTAACAAATTCTAGTCTTAAATAAGTTAAATACCTCAAAATTTTGTGAGACTTCTAAAAATTTAAAATGAATACCTCAAAACTTTTAAAAGTCTTAAAAAGTTCTAAAAAGTCATAGACCAGGATTTCTAAAGTCTTTAAGAATCTCTCTTCAACTCTGAAATGACATACTTTTGTTTATTTTGTTTTTTAGAGTGTGACATTTCTGATTGAAAGTGTGTACATCTGTTGTAAAAGTACGGGTAAGTATGACTGCCTAATCAACAGTAGCCT